TATTTATCGTATTGCCATATGATGGAGAGATGTCGATAGTGAGACTTCGCTTATTTGGTTGTGAACCGCTGAAATACAACGAATATGTGTTTGTTAATATTAATATTTCGAGTGAATAATTAGGCTGTATGGAGCTGAAAGTATCCAGTGAAATGAAAACGACATCATAGTTTTATGCAATCACTGTTATTATTTCCACGTTTAAATTTATAGTTGTAACTAAATTTACGAAATTTCTGTCAGCCTGTCCGGTGTATATTGACCATTACCCTTCGCTAATTAATTTCGTTTTTAGGGATACCCATGAATAAATTATGCATTCATTGCCTACATCACGTAGCTTTTTTGGTGTTTTCTTCAGTTATTTGCATTTATCTGTTTTTTCGAGAAATTTGTCACATTTTTACCTATGATCCTTATTACTCGAAATTTAATGTATCGAATACTTTCTTGTCATTTCTGGGATGTCATAAAAATGTTTTATGTATGTTTTAATAAGACTATTCCGTTTGTTTTATTACCATATACCATATACATATGTATGCTCTGAGGTCACGATTAACATTTCTATATTAATTTGCATATCATGTTGCTTTTGATATTAGACTGTATAGATTAAGGTCCAGTGAAAAAGCAGTTACAAATTTATACTGATACACTTTCGAAGTGATTTGATTTACTGATATAAACAGTGTTTTAACCCCACTTCACACTTCTGAATAACAAATATTAATTGCTTCCACACATTTCGTATACATCCTTCTTTTAGCATCCAATTTGTTATAGTGTAGGATATTTTCATTTATTCATATAGCATGAACCGTTTAATTGTCATGTAAAACTGTCCTATTGATCTAGACACTCAGATTTACACCAAATGAACAGCCATTCTTCTACCTAGGTTACGAGTGTCAGGTGGCATTCCACAAAGTCACACAAAATGGCCATGGCCTAAGCTTACTGAATCATATTTCTGGTGATCCAGTTGTTATTGAAGTACTATTTCCATAATGGTATATGATGCATACAATTTTAAAATTATTCAATTCATAACTTTAGAATACGATTATATTTAGACGTAATACTTAATCACACATGTTTATTGTATGTAAGTATGTACGTATGTAAAGGTTTTCGTCTAACATCAGTAACAAACATGTGTGCAGTAATAATTTGACCAGAGTTCCCCATCGTCACACACATAAATTTCTGTTCACTAGACTCAAGGGGCACCTATTCACCTTATTCACTCAATTCCAACGCTCTTAATACTTCCATTACATGCAAAATCATTCTTCATTGTCTCCTAGGTTTCGTAGTCTTCATTTTGTTCCTGCCTAACGATTGTTCATTCGGACGTTTAAGTTTTTATCCTCAGCCTTTTTTCGATCATTTTTTAAAACTATAACATTGTTTAGCCGAGTAGTTTATAAGGTAACAGGTGCTACTTTTGAATTCATTTACACTCTACACTACTATGGTCTTGAGCTCCATTCCGTGTCAGTTCTTAGGTTCACTCTAGGATAAAGAAGTTTCATACTGTTTCCTGATTTTCAACGCTCCTATACATAATTTTTACTTATGACGTATTCTTTTGAAATCAGTTGTGCTTCGGTAGTTCAAGTAGGAAAAAATAAGAATTCGCAAAAATGAACTAAAGGATTGTTTGCATGATGAGAATTTCTCAGTCAACTAGGTACGATTAGTCTATATATATATATATATAAATGTATATATATATATATTACCTTGTTAATTGTATACTCATTGGTATTGAAAATATTTTTGTGAAAAATAGTCACATTTTTCTGATAGATAAATTGATTTCTGAGCACCAGAAGTAAGGGATAACACAATGCCTAAGCAGTACTTCATGACCGATGTTTTTTATGTCCGCAGTTGTTATAACAGCAGTTAATTTTTCAAAATGCCAAATTTTACAAGGACAGTTTTAGTTGTTCTATAAAATTTGTCTTCAATATTAATATTCCTAAAAAGTATTCTTTTCCGTCACCTTTTGTTTGCTACATTCTTGTAGGATAACTTAGAATGTTACATCTCTGCTCTCCATTCTACCTCAATACGTGTACAATTCTCCTATTAATGATGAGAAGTTATCATCCTTGCATACCGTTAATAGATTTCATTTTTATATCTGAAACTAAACAAATAATTTCCTAATTACTCCTTTATGTTTTCGTACTGCATGTCCTTATTCGGGATGTTTGACTGTACTAGCTTACATTCCCTTCAGGATTGACTCTCATTGTTGTTTTATTATGTTTTTCTAACAGTTTTATAGACAGTCTTACAACTAGTATTAATATTGATCTAGCAGTTGCATTTCATTTCATTTCCATAATACAATGTTCTAAATAAAACCTACTTGTCAGACAGTACCCATTAGATGTTTATACCAGTCATGTGTGGATTACTCACTGTTTCTGAGCACGTCGTTTTTTTCTCTTTTTTTATATACATATAGAGGGGATAGGAGGATAACCAAAGACCAATGTATGCAGTGAAAATTCGATAAAAAAAAAGGATTTGAATATATGCAAAATTGCTCAAATATCACTGAACCTTTTTCATTTTACCCAGAAATCCATCTTAACCAGCACATATCAGTAATGAAGTAGAGTGTAAACAAATCAATATTCTATTGAATATTGACTTCACTATTTCCTTTTCTTAAACTAATTCTTCCTAAAATATGTACAAAATACATATGTATAGTGCATATTGTAATCATTCTATACGTGTGTGCATGTCCAACAAATGAAATTGGTTGAGAATAAAAATAATTAACAGTCTTTCCTTCTCTTATTCTGCTTGCGGTTGTTGTCATTGCTGTTGTTATTGTTGATGATGGTGGTTTATTCATTTATTCGTATGTTTTAATAAAATACATATGTAGGCGTAACAAAATTGATTCTCCATGTCACTGAATTTTCTTTAAATCATTGTAACTTTTATCGCATAAATGTTACTGTCCTCCATAAAGACTGTATTCCAGATTCGGACGGAAAGACCACATAGTAGAACGTACCTTACAATCATCACAGTTTAAATAGTGCTTACATGATATAAACATTTAAATGGGACTACAGATATGCAGTGTGATTTTGAAAGTTAACGTAAATGAAAGAAAAATATTGACATTTCATGTGGACGATTTATGGAGAAAATATTCGGCAGTATTTGTAGATTGCTTGATGCTGCACATATATATATATATATATATATACTTCCTATTAATTATTACCAAATGTGATGCATAATACCTGGTTGAATAAACGATAAATGGAGTTACAGTGGCGAAATTTTTCAATATCGGTGACTTTATTACTGGACATACAGAGATAATTTCCCTTTCGATAAATGGAGTAATTCAAATTCTCTGTTAAAAGTTTCCACTCTGTTTATCTTATTCTCCTGGATTTAAATACAGAATAGCTGTCGTTATTAATCTTATATATATATATATATATATATATATGAATGCTCTACTGCACCTGAAAAGACCATATAAAAAATAAATTGATTTTACTAACTCGTTTTTAAGATTATCCATTTCGACGTGAAAGTTGAACTTCTCTAAATCTTATCACCCCGTCTTCATAATAACCACCGTCACATCTTAAGGCTTAAGTGATACATAGGATTGGAATTGCTTAGTACCATTCGTAATAATTGTCATCATTATAAAGGAAGGTAAATGGTCCTGATTTGTATCTATTCGATTAAACAATTACTAATGTAGTATACCAGAGTAAGAAAGTTGAAGTAATTGTGTTTTGGAATGGCCATAAAATAACTTCTCTTACATAATTAGTTTGATATTCAACTGATGTTCGCAGAAAGTCTTTTTACTTATTTTTCTGATCATTTATCAGTTAATGTTATGTCCTGTTTTAATCTGTTTTTGTATTTCTGACATTTGATCAGCATTATTATTCAGTAGCCTAACATAACTTGTATCAATTCCAGATCTGAGTAATAATTCGTTTTGTTTTTCCCTACGTCAGTTCTAAGAATATCAAGCCTGATGCATAGATTCCTCAGTATTCTTACTATAAAAGCATGTACATTTTATTTTTTCGTTTCCTCAGGTTTCTGCGTTTCGAGTGTGAAAGAGGAAAGATGATGGATAAACATATCTGTGTCACTGTAAAGGATTTTGTGCCATTGCTTCGTAACATATTAAAATCTTTTGCAGGCAGGTAAACTACACTTCTCTACAAGGCTCAGACTAAATGTTAGAGATTACATAGTTTGGTAGCATGCCATATTTCAGCTATCTCTAACATTTTTCTGACAACATAGTCATAACTCAACTAACTTTGGATTTACAAATGTATTCAGCACGGCTGTTAAACAAGTTGTTGCTCTCGGGAAAATATTATATTTCTTATTAGAATAGTGTGAAATTCAAATTCAAAGTAAATGCATTCATTTTATGGTTGACAGAACGTAACTTGCATATACCTCTTAACTCTTGCTAACATACGTTGTAATCCTTCCTCGTAATTCCTGTTTCAGCTCTTCATGTAAGTAGAATGCATAGACTGTGTCTTGGCAGCCTAATTGCTAATAAAAATACTTCATTTTTTCGAAAATCATCGTCTACACTTTAATAATCTAACTTCTATATTTAGGTTACTGTTTTCTTTTTCTTTTTACTTATTTTCAGCTGACACAAAATCCAATCACTCCTACTGATCAGTAAATACACACATATCTATATTATCTATACCCATATAGACATTCATTTAACGAGCTTATTAATTCAAGTCAACCATAAAATCTCAAGAGAGGCCGCAAAGAGTTTTAAGTCATCAATAGTTATCTCTAGCAAGTGTTCAAATTCACACACTAAAGATATATTTATATATCAAGATCTAATTATTCTTCTGTTCGTATATTAATTGGTTCTTGCGCAAAAATTCATCATAAAAGTATCTTTTGCATGTAAACAATAATTTTTTCAATTCATAATAATGGATCATCCAGAGCCAATATCTAAACGTCCAATGGAAATACCACAATGTCGTAAAGGTTTTACACTAGAAGAGGCAAGAAATTTCGTTGATCAAATTATGGAAGTATTTCGAAGTTTAGAAGATATGTCAGATCTACGATCAATGTATGAAACGGGTAAACAACTAAGTCGAGCTTATTTTGACTGTCATTCATGTCGAATTGAATTAGCTCAACATTTAACTAATTGTGATTATCCAGCGTTTGCATCGAAAATGATGAAGAAATTAAATAATATGGGGGTGTTTAAAAATGATGATATTTGGTTTTCATCATTTTACTTTTATAATACAACATGGAATTTCTCTGATATCTGGCCGGAATTCGCTACTGCTTTAGCTACTGCTGGTTTACCAAACTTACTCAATTTAAATATTGGCCATCAACCTTATTTGGAGAATTTAAGCAGTAAAAATGTGTACTACCTTATTAAAGCTAGTCTATCCATTATTCATAATATAGCTCGTGTTCCTGGTAATATACATTATTTCGCCTCAGAATCAGTTCGACAGGCATTATTACACTTAGCTCAACGTGAAGAAGAATTTCTACGTTGTGTTTCTACACTTTGTTTAGCGCATATTGTTAATGAATCCGAAATTCATTTGATCACTGATACATCGACAGGTGGCATAGATTTACTACGTATACTGTTTGGATATGTTACTTCTGCCCGTGTTTCTGAGAAAAGAAGATGTCATGGATTTCAAGTGCTTGAATTGCTGTCTGCTGTGGCTGCTCTATCGGTTCATGATCCTATCAAAGCTAGTTTATTATCCTCATCTGTTGGTGGAAATTTAGTTTCAGTTGGGAATAATCAAAGTACAGAACATGGAATGACATGTTTAAGCCTACTCAAGGAATTAATTGAAACTGCTTTACTTCCCAATTCTAGTCCTGTTTCTATTAGAGAGGCAGAGGAGGCAGTACGTATTCTATGGAATACTGTTTTTGATCCATCTGTCTGTACAGGAGTATTACAAACACAGTTGAACAACTGGTTGAATGAAACCATGACTGCTCATGCTACATCTTTACAGTCTTGCAAAGCCCTTTTGCGTGCAATGGAATCTATTAGTTGGCAACTAAACAATCCTATTTCTAGAAGTTTGAAAAGCGAACCTATAGAATGTGGCCCAGTATTACTGTGTTTTGCCCCATCTAATCGCATCGCTGTTAACCGTATAGCTGATCGTTTAAGAGACGCTGGTATACTGCTTAACAGTATTCCTTTCTGTCCTGAAATAATATCATCTGCTGATGCTTCGGCAACTGGACTCAGTATGTGCGGTAGTAATGCAGTAAATGATGCTCAATGGATAGAGTCTGTAGAACAAGCTTCTGTGATGATTGCATTTATGAGTGATTCCTTCCGATTAAGTCCTGGCTGTCGACTGGAAGTGGAGTATTTTTCTAGTTTTGATACTAATACATATGCAAAACCTATTATCCCTGTTGTATTACAACCGAAATTCAAATTAACTGGCTGGTTATCTCGCCTCATCGCCCAGCATCCTATTGATTTCAATGGCAAACGTGATCCGGAAGCTAGCTATGATGCTCTGATTAGCCAGGTAAAGGAGTGTTATTCTGAAGCAAAGAGGCGTGCCGAAGCTGCAGCTGCACAGCATCATTCTACTACTGATAGCAAAAGACACCTAGCAATTGCTGGTGACACGGGGGTGCCTGGAATACCAAACTCAGATGTTACTGTGAATCATTTCGGCGCAAATCCTGTTGCCAGTAACCGTGGTTCTCTTGGTCTGGCTTCAGGTACTAAACGTGAGGACGGAATTCCTTTTTCCTGTCATCCTGGATTATCTACGATTTCTACTCAAAATATGGTTCATCTGCAGCCCAATGTTATATCCCGACCTCTAGCCACCAGTGCATGGCGTCATGCCATTCGTCCATCGGTTCGTAATTGGTCTACATGTAAAGTTGCTTCTTGGTTGAAATTCCGTGGGTTAGGTCATGTACCTTCCCAAATAGCTGGCGGTATCGATGGCGTTCTATTATCTCAGCTAGCTGGTTTACGTATTTGGGCTCCAGAATATTTCACACAATGTTTACGGTCTGAATTAGGTCTTGGTTTCGCTGATTCTCTTCGATTTTTGGAGGCATTGGACGAGCTAGCCCCAGGAGACAGTGATGGACATGAAGTTGAAGATGGAGATGACTGTGTAGATGGTCGTACCCATATGGGAAATTTCGATGGTGCAGCATCTAGAGCGTAGCAACTTTTGGTTTTGGTTACCAAGATCATTGTTTTGTGACAGCATGTCCTGATCTTGTAATATATTACAAGGTACTAGTTGATTAAAGCTGATAACTGAACGTGCCAATTGAATTTGCATTCATTGCATCTTTTCGAATCAACTGCTTGCATCATTACAGACTACTGTTTCGGTGTATTGAAACTGCTGACTGATGGGCTTTTTTCATTTGAGAAACTGAGGTATTATTTACTATTTGTTTTTATTTGATAATATTGTAAAATTATTCATGTTTGATTTTTTTTGAAGTATAATATCTTATAAACAATATTGTCTAAATTCAGTTTGTCTTGGTTCTGCTATATGGCATGGTAGTTGTAAAAGACAACTGTTTATATGATCAAACTCAGTGATGTAATTCCTGTTGTTGTATTTTTCTTTTTTGCATTAATATAATACCACCTTTTCTGTTTTTACTAATATCTTGGATTTCTTTTTTCCAATCAGTCCTTTTTTCATCACGGTTATCACATATTCATTTATAATGAATTATAATCATTCCTTATATTGATGCATAAATCGTTACTTTTTTATTCTGCTGTATTCTATTTCTTCTTTACATTGTGAAATGTTGTCTTCATTCTCATTCTCGTCACAACCAGCATGATTATATCTGAACTGATACGGGGATCTATGTTGATGATTCCTCACTAATATTCATTTGAGAGAAATATATTCTCGAAACTAGTTTTTATTTTGTTAGTGTTACACTTTTCTTCAGTATTCTGACTTGAATGTGTTTTTTATTTTTAAAAAATGCTTTTATTCGATTTGGTGAACAAACCAAAACAACAAAACAATCCAGGTAATTATTTTTCACTCTATCTGGATCAGTTCTCCTATCTCAATTTTTCCTTTGTCTTTTTCCTCTTTCTTTTTGTTAATCAACTTCATATTCTGCATTTGTGCATGTCTTTATGTTCAATATTACCGACTACTATGTTGTTATGAGTGAGGAGTATATTCCTTGTCTGTCTAAATTATTCCTAATGACTGACTGACTGACTGACTAGCAAACATAAGTTAGTTGTATTTACTTCTATAGAGAAAAGAGAGTGAGCAATATTATTTTACTTAGATACTGTAGTCTTCTAGTAATAGCATTAGTAGTATTACCCTACCTCTACTCTACCGCAATTGTATGAAGCATTACTTACAATCCTAATCATGATGACGCAATAAGAGAAAAGCATTTTTTTATTACTGTTGACAAAAGAAAGAAAGAAGAATTATTATTACTGAGTAGTAGCAGTAGTAGTAGTAGTAGTATAATATGTACATCCTACGTCCTATTTCATCCGTTTATTGATCAGCTTTAAGTTTTTTTTCCTTCTCACAGTTCACTTTCCTCTTTTTAATTCTTATCTGATAAAAGTAGCTGTATAATAATGGACAAAGTTACAGCATGACTTTACATTTTATTTAAGAATAGATGTGATGAGGGGAACAACATTATTCTAAATGTCTTCTTCTGTGTTAATATTGTTTACGTATATATCTTTATTTATTTTATTTTATTTTTGGTGCTTTTTCAGTTAAACAGTAAATTAGTTGTCGGATAAACAAATTCAGTATATACACACTTAAAATAAGCACAGTGTGACGTAATAACATTTATACTACCTATACTTCTGTACTACTTTTAAACGTGAACTAGATGAATAAACTCTGTTGTTAACTAATCTTTCTTATATTTGTGAGATGTATACAAAAATGAATGGTATATATATATAAATGTATATTTCCCTATAGGTCCATTGATAAAATATACATGAGTAGAAAGTAGTGAAAGTGGAAATAAAGCGAAAAAAACACAGTTGCGTAATTACGACAAAGAAATGTGGGAGTATGTACGATTTGTTGTTAAAAATTTTGAGTTAGAAAAGCCAGTATTAAATTATGCTATTGTCCTAAATCTTTGATCTTCGGTTTTACGAGCGGATATTAAATAAGTCCTGATTTCAGCTTCATTTCTAGGGCAGAAGCCATTTTTATCATTGCAAGTGTTGTCTGGAAATTCGATGGAGAAAGAGTGTTCATATTGTATGGTCCGCATCTAGGGATACATTTTTGTGAAAAGCGGTAAGGTATCTAGTAGTTATATAGTGCTTAAATCACAATTACTAATACTCTCTTTGGTTCCAAGTGGAACACCGAGCTTCAAAAGTACATCTCCACTCTGTTCCGTTCTCTGCAGTACTTTATAGCTGCTTTCATCTCCTACTCGCACTATTTCCATATCACGCTTGGACGACGTTTCCCATTCATCCTCCACTCGATGACCTGATGCGCATTGTCACTCAACGGTCACCTCAGCGTATGATCGGCCTATCTCGTATCCTTTCTGGACATTTGTTGGGCTGTGAGCTCTTGATTGACCGGTTGCCAGAATTTCTCTTTGCTTATCCTTCTACACAAGCCATCTGGTTTCCAGTATCAAGCGAAGGTTGATGCCTCTCTGTTGTAAATGCTTTGTGTAACTCGCAAAGCATCTGAACCGTATAGAAGCGCTCATTTGATATTAGTGTTAAAAATCTGGATCTCGTTCTGAGTGCAATGTATTCCAAAACTGCTTTCAGAGAAGCGAAAGTCTCAGTTAATTTCCCGGTACTGGCTCGTGTTGATATGGCAACAGTAGTTGAACTGATGCTGTCTAGATAAGTGTAGGAAGGGACTTTCTTCAAATTTTTCCCACTGATAGTGAGTGATCCTTATTCTTGTCGGTTAGTCATGTTCACTACCTCTTTCTTCTTGTTCACTAGAAGATCTGTGTTTGATGCCTACCTCTCCTGCCAACTCGTTGGTTTTTGCCCATGTGTTTTCAAATTCATATGACACTGGACATAAATAGTCCACAGTACTCTTATCAGTCCAACGTATTCTTGTCTCTCCTCTATCTGTCCAAACAAGTTTCCTCGGTGATGTTACATTATGTCTCCAACATTCCTCTGATACCTGCAGTGAATTTGTCCCGCATATTTCCTTCCTACAGTTTCTGGGTGTTGAACACAACCAAATCAAACACACCAACAAATCTTCTCCTTTATCACAGTTTGCAATTCACACCATACACACACACCAGAATTTCGATGTCACCATCTACCTGAACTCGAGCCGATTACTCCTTGCAGGAGTCTCCCTTTTTCCCATAGTCTACGTTGTCTATGGGGGAGTTTTTTTATTCCTTCACGTTCCCAGTGGAACATGGGGGTTCAAGCTAGAGGCTTGAAGTTTCTATGGGGGAGTGGTATTGGACAATTACAACTCTCCAATATTTCGAGTTGGATCTCGCTAGTGGAGATTGATTTCCATTGCCTCTAGAGGCTTCGATGATGTTGGTGATATCACAACAGTCACTCCGTCAGTGTAATCGTGGTTGTCATGTGAGTGAATGGAGTAGATTGTTGACTCCCCAGTTTACTATTTGGGTAGTGGATCTCCATTCCGTCTGCTACCACAAACTCCTGCCACCTCCATACTATATCTTATCGTTTATTTCGTTATCCGAGAAGCCTTGTGAGTCAACTTCGAAGGTGGTTCCATATCACGTCCACATTGTTGTTTTTGCTTTCATTGTAAGAAGACGCATTGTCTGATTAGCCTTCCGGAGGCTTTCACTATCCCACTTGATTTCGTCTATCGAATGCAATAGGAGGATAAGTTTGTGTTTTTAAAATATTTATCTGTGCTTTTAAGCTTGTGCAGAGACCGGGTGATTTTCCTCACACTGTCCCCATATCATCCTTGAAGGCTTAATTACTCGTTTGCTATTAAAGCTCACCTCAGTGACATAGCTTCACGTCCAACTTTCACTCTTTATAAGCGCTTAGAACTGGCTTTCAAACTGTACCATGTTATTTCACTAATCTATGAATATAACTTGGGCAGTGCGCTGGAGTATAAATCAATGGAGGAAGTAGGCAGTATCTCCAGAATGCTAATTATTCGTGGGATACACCATCATCCATAACATTCAACATTTAGCTTTCCCCTCAGCGTCAATATCTTTTTATAGGTAGGCTATTCAACTTCTCTAATATTTTTAACATTTTTGACCAGAGAAACTTAGTTATTTAAAACAAAAGCGAAGAGCAAATATTGCAGCTCTCGAATGCCGAACATTACGTCAATCTGAGTAACACATCTCTCTGCAAGACTCGAATTCAGACACTATGGTAGACTATTATTCCACATTAGTTTAGTTCGTTTGCCATAACACACAGTAATAATTCGATGACGTTTCGAGTTAGGTGTGGAAAGAGATTATTCACCAAGTCTTTGTTCATGGAATCAACGCCGAACATACGCAATTGAAACAAGGCAATGCTTTTAACTGGATATATGGAAAATCTCAATAAAAATAGCTAGAAATAAGGCTAAATGAACCAGGTTACCAAGTGATGTAAACATAACGATATGATTATGAGCAGTCGATTGTCATGAAAAGTCTTCCGGTCACTAATACTGTATTACTGTGTGTTATATGAAAAATAACTTATCTGCTATAGAACACACCTTACTATTTTAAATCCTGATATCCGGAACATGGACTTTATGAAAGCACTTATGCGTGAATCCTCACTAAACTCTAGATGGTCAACATGATGCACCTAAAAAATTCACTCTAAAGTAATTGTCTGACCATTTCTCATGGGCTTACTGCTTTAGAGATAGTCATGAGCTCTAGAGCAGTAAAGACTGGATCCCGAAAACGTCATGTGTTTAGTGTTTATCTGAATCTATCCGTAAGAATAGGGAAGGGTTATTATAGTCGTCTGTCTTTTCATAATCTCCGGTTTTCGAATTTCGAAGAGACGTTTCATTAAAATAGATAGAGTTTTGTTGAAAAAAAGGTTAAGTTATTTCAACAAGGGATTTTATTGTTTACTGAACCAGTCATAAATTATACCAGGGGTATCTGCAGAATTCAGTTCTGAAAATCCAATAACTGTGATAGTCTT